TCGGGATGTGACTATCCACCGGGTACCTGTTGGACTTGGCCCCTGGGGTACACAACTGTGACCTTTCTGAGACTGGCCGACTTGGCTTATTTTGGCCTCAGACCCTGAGATTCGACTTCGGGGTCTGCATTGTGGAATGCCTTCCACTTTCGATTAAAAAACAGAAGAAGAAAAAAAAAGAGAAAAAAAAAAGGAGGAATCTTTATTCGAAACTGGAAACCGGATCCACGCCTCCTTGCATCAAGAACCCGCTCAATGTGTCCATTTGTTATGGTCAAGGGACCCTGAGACAGAATAATTGATTATTTCCATAGCTGCGGCGCACCTCTGTGCGCGGATGTGCGCACGAATTGCGCACCGCGCGCAGCACACTGGAAAAATTAGGTCCCTCCCCCCCCCAAAAAAAGTAGGGGTTTTGTAATTTCTTAGGGCCCCCAACTCAGTAAAAATGTTAAAGTCACCGCGCGAGCTCAGAAACCGGCCGTGCCCATGGCCTGAATTTTTCTTTTGGGTAAGGGCTGCCGAATTCCGATTTCCGCAGGCCCTTCCCCTAAAAGTTTCAGAATGGTGGGATAAGTTCGCAAGAAGGGATAGTCGCCTAATAACGACCTGCCCCGCGGAGCTTCGCAGATGTCACAAGTTACGTTTTCCATTGCGAACCGACCACCAATATATGCGGAAGATTGGCGTTCAGGTCTCCATGTCGGCAGTTATGGGTTAGGATGAAGATGCCCGTGGCTCTCTCGTTTTTTTGTTTTTGTTTTCTTACGAATACGTCCAGCGGGGCCTGCTCCACTACTCACCAAATGCAAAAAAGACATAGCATATGGCGGTGTATGGTTCCATGTTTTAGCAGAAGATTCATTCTACTAATATTATCTACATTTGGTGCGTGGTGGGAGGCCCTGAGAATCACATGGAGACATGAACAGGGTCTAGCTGAACTGGTGACTCATAACTTTCGTGAAGCGGTTTTCACCTTTGCAGTAGCAGATGCAGATCGCAGGGATAGATCCCTAGACCTCACCTCACCCGTGTACAGTACCCCTGTGTGTTTGAACCCGTGAACTCCGTTTTAGGGGTCAGTTGTTGTCTGTCGTAGGTTGATGTAGTTGTCGGGTCTTGAACCGTAGGTCTGTCGAGTAGGGGTCATAGTTGTGGAGAGGCCGTAGTTGTAGCAATTCTGAAAGGTCAACGCCGTAGCTGCCACAGTCCTGAAAGGTCAAGACCGTAGCTGCTACAGTTCCGAAAGGCCAAGTCCGCAGGCT